TTTGGACACCTACGTAATTTTCCAACAATTAAGCCTTGAGAGAGCTCTCAAAGGTCTTTGAAAGTTAAAAAGTCTTTGTTTGGACACTTACGATCGCAATTTCTCAACAGCTGAAGCTCTCAAAGACAAAGGTCGTTACTCTTGAGGACAATGTCAAGGGCAATGTTAAATCGGTTACAGACGAGCAAGTTTTCTATGACAAGTTCAGAAGTTTTATTTGCTAACTTTGCTAAAAAGCTAGCTTGAAAAAGTGCACTTGTCACAGAAAAAATTGGCAAAGTACAACTGTTATTCGTTTGTATGGGTCAACCAAGAAAATTTGGAAGTAATTTGAGCACTTGGCCAGCGATCTATTATTGTAACAACAGCTTATACAAATAATGAGTGTTTCCTTGTGAGTGCAATAAACTTTCTGGTGTAGGAAAATGCTATGAGTTTTAACTATATATTTTCCAAGCACATTTTCTGTGTATAGAGTTCGAACGTTGAACTTCACACGAAAATACAATATTTTCCCACAATGATTGGACTGTTAACCGTTGGAGACTTCATTGCAGCATCACTGTACGTTTCTGCTGGAATATATCTAATGTTTCCAACCACCGTTCTCAATACCACGTTATTGCTCATTCGCTGATGGCGAATTTTGAAATGTGACGTTTGTACTCGTGTTTATTCGATCACATACGCCAGAGTAAGAATCGTATACAACTAATCGTATCGTGTAAATGGGCCTTATATGATCCATATTTCTGAGCATTTTTTTTTATTTTACAACACTAGCCCAGCTGAAGGTGGATCTCTTTTCTATCGGTGTATGTCGCGGGGTACGTTATAAATATTTGAATGCTGTTCTTAGGGTTTGTAATCCAAGTGAGTATATATATATATATATATATATATATATATATATATATATATATATATATATATATATATATATATATATATATATATATATATACATTTTAAGACCTGACCAGAAACGACTGCGAAAAATGCAGCACGTAGGTTCAATTCCTACCAGAGGACCTTGTGCTGCATTTTTCGCAGTTGTTCCAGGTCAGGTCTTAAAATGTATATACTATACTCACTTGGATTACAAACCCTAAGAACAGCATTCAAATATTAATACCACCAAGTGAAGTGCAAGAAACCAGATCATTGAAGTCTACGTTATAAGTAAACTGTTTTCGTTTAACAAGAAAAAGAATTTGAGGAAACTACGCAAACTAAGGACTGCAAGCTTTGCTGTACGCTATGAAATCGATTAAAACAAACAACTATATACATTTCAGTTCGAACAAGAGGAGGGCTTGTTACCTCCATACAGCGACTTGCAAGTTGGGATCTTGAAAGTTGCTGAAATTTCTTTCAGAGGCACTCGTTTTCATTCATCAGAATGACAATCGTATACAACTAATCGTATCGGGTAAATGGGCCTTAAGTTTGACGTTTATCGATTCAACAATCGAAGCCACGGCCTTTTTAGTCAACGCATTACAAGTTGTATTTTGTTGATCATCACTGCAGTGATATTTTCCAGGGGGAATGCGCGGGAACGCCGTCCCCCCACCTTTAGTTTACCAGGGGAACGGTGTCCCCCCTGCCAAAATCAAACATGGGGGAACGGCGTTCCTCCTAGCAGGGATTAAATATGAGTGAAGTTCAGTGAACGCCGTTCGACACCGTCCAAATAATTTTGGCTACAACTTGTACTACATACGTGCATGCTATTAGCCTATTTTTGGCAATAATTGCTCCGCATACTACGTAGAAATATTTCAGAACGTAATTTTGTCACTATTTTAACCTCCCTGAAACTTGATATACTTGCAGACCCAGCAGGATATAATTGGTATATATACGCCCGTATTCTAAAAGCTCACTCACACTCAATGAGTGGAGGTTCAATCTGAGCTTCTCTTGAGTGTCAGTGCTGTTTTTGAATAGCTGGTGGGTGAGTAGTGGCATAGTAAAGTAGGACACTAACCCTTCAGCTGTTCAAAAACTGCACTGGCACTCAAGAGAAGCTCATATTGAACCTCCATGCACTAATTGAGTGTGAGTAAGCTTTTAGAATACGGGCGTTAGTCTTTCGCGCAATCGCGAAATTAAACATTAAAATGAACATTAAAATATCAAGGGCAACATAACATGATTCAATAAGAATATTAACATGGGGAAAATTCAAGGATATCTATTATCTAAGCTCATTTAGTTACGCGCGAAAACGTCATATTTAATTAAATAAACTCGCAAAATTGCCTGCTTGCCGAGTTGCCGCATACTCAATGCTCACGTAGCGCTAATTGCACAATCGAAATTCAAAAGTCAGCGTGGTTTTATTTGCTTTTTGACATCTACCGCGGAGCAAGCTAGGTGTTTTTAAGTATCATGTTCTACTAACAAACATAAAACGCTCTCTGAGTTTCCAGCGATATACATACCCTTTTCTAGATATATACCTAATAATAATAAACGAACGAACGAAAGTATTCCTTCCACTCGTGAGTTCATTTACCATTGTCACATATGGTAAACGTCCAGGCCTTGTGACCCTGGATGGGCCTTAAAAGGAAAGAATACACACACACAAAGGTTTATTTATTCAACCAGTACAAGAGAACAATTGAACAACTGCGCATGAACGAACGTTCAAAGTGAATGCCACTTGTTAGCCACTTGCAAAATTATTATTAGCATAACAATATGTCTCACACAACTCATTTCCTTGTCGTCATATCATAACAAACCATATCAGGAAATATGAATATCAATTACAAACCTTTAGTCAAATCCATGACCTTCAGGAATATTTACCTCCAGCTGTAGGATTTAAGTTCAAAGCACCAGAAATAATAATATGAAATTGGTCGAAGACCCGTACTCAAGAAATAAAATAACAAACATAAAACGCTCTCTGAGTTTCCAGCGATATCCATACCCTTTTCTAGATATATACCTAATAATAATAAACGAACGAACGAAAGTATTCCTTCCACTCGTGAGCTCATTTACCATTGTCACATATGGTAAATGTCCAGGCCTTGTGATCCTGGATGGGCACTTAAAAGGAAAGAATACACACACACAAAAGTTTATTTATTCAACCAGTACAAGAGAACGATTGAACAACTGCGCATGAACGAACGTTCAAAGTGAATGCCACTTGTTAGCCACTTGCAAAATTATTATTAGCATAATAAAATGTCTCACAATAATTTTGCAAGTGGCTACGGTCTTCGACCAATTTCATATTATTATGTTCTACTAAATCCACTTCAAAGATTAAGCTATTGCGTATGTACTTGTTCACAATGATTATGCATGATGCCACGCCCAATCGAGTGACCGCGCCCATTTGATTTTCAAGAGCGCCCCCCACTTCTAAAATTAGCAAAATATCGCTGAACATGCATGCAGGGGCGTAGGAACCGGGGGTCACAGAGGGTACGTGCCCCCCTCCCCCATTTTTCAAAGGACTAAAGTGCCCTTTTTTGTGAAGAAAAGTGCCCTTTTTGTGATTAAAAGTGCCCTTTTAGTACAAGCTAATGTCGCTGTAAATATTAAATTAACATCAAAGGGGCCCTTAAAAAATTTGGTACAAAACGTGCAATTTCGGTATGGTACGGCAGGAAAATTTTTTAGCCAACATTTCTGGGAAAATTTTTTAGGTGCCCTTTTCAATACCCTAAAGTGCCCCTAGAAGCCGGTACCCCAATCTTTTGATGCTTCCTACGCCCCTGTTGACGCTGATCCTCAGCTCTCAAGGTGTTTGGATCTTGTGTGTCTTGTCAAGCCCCCTTTAGCCCTCTTGTGTGTCTTTTCAAGCCACATTTTCTCGCACTGACTACAAGAAAAAACTCTCCGGCATCAATTTCTTGTATAGCTTTGGCGAATTCAGCGTCTATTTCGTCTGCATGACTGTATTTCCGTTTGACCAGGCTGAGCAGCAGACACATCAAAGTTGTATAAATCTTCTGCGGTTGCATCGTCTTGCGATAAAACGTCTTCGCTTTCGTCCCCTGATGCCTCGATCATAAACTGCTCACTACGATCGCTTACTTCGAGATTTTCATCCCCAAGGTTCAAAATAGGTTAATTCGTTTGTTTGTTCGCTTTCTGTTTCGAACTCCATCTTGACCTCAGAAGCCGTCTAGAGTTTTGAAATATGATCTTCTGTTGGCATATTATGTTCTACACTGAGAACAGTCTCCGAATAAAGACAACATTTCTTATTCAACGTTTCGACTTTATTTAGTCATCATCAGGAATGGATATGCTTTAATGCTTTAATATAGTAATGCCAATATGTAACATTATTCATTCCTCATGATGACTAAATACAGTCGAAACGTTAAATAAAAAATGTTGTCTTTATTCGTAGTTACTGTTGTTGGTTCTCGCCAGAATTGGACCGCCAGGACGCTCCCCCCTGAAGTTTTCCGGCTAGCCTAACCATCTATGTTTATTAACCGTGCTCTAATCAGCGCTCATCCTCGTTTGACCGTGGCTTGATAGTGTACTTGTCTACAGATATTATGGGATAAATATTTTATTATAGTATAAATAGCCAAGCAAGCAAATCGTTTGAATATAATCGCGTATATTGTGTCAGTTCAAGAATGTTGTCGACTCTACCTTCTCACCTTCTCACCTTCTCACCTTCAAACACAGCAAAGATAATCTGTTAATCATAAAAGCGTTATTTCCAGCAAAACATCGCAGATTAATTGTTTACGATTCCTTTAAAGTTCAAAAGTTGTCACGAGGTCCCCAAATCGTTCATCACGTGGCACATAAAAATCGATCCAATTTAAGTATACATCAACACGGCTATGCCATAAGGCCACCATGAGGCTAAGTTATAAGGCTGCTACTGATTGGCTTCCTGTATAAATATTGTACTGAAAACTGATTGGCTCTTTGGAAACGCAATGGAATGTTCAGCTCGACTGCTTATAAGCATACCGTTTATGTCATAAGTACGTCATTCTGTCAGGCCCAAGAACTGTAGCGCTGGCGTGGATTGAAAGATATAAACTATAAAACTAATATGGCGAGATTTCCTTTTGGTCGGTTAGAAGAGACTGAAATACGGAAGCCTTCGAAAGTACGCTTGGTTTTCTTGATATTGTTTCTACTGCTGCTTATTCTGTCCGGAATCTTCATTGTGCTGTATTTTAAAGTCTTTAAAGAGAAGTCCAAATCGTCTGAGAAATGTAGTTCTCCTGCTTGTATCAGTGCTGCAGGTATGTGTGGGGTTAGGTTTGCTTTCATTATCGCGCCTTAGTGGGACATGATTAGAACTACAAAAGAAATAATTGATGATTTATAGAAACGTATATAATAAACTCACTATAAGCGCGTGTACGCACGCGAAATTGATACCTTAATTTTTTCAGAAAACGGTATAAATTGACAATTTCCCGTGCGTGATACAAAATGACTGAAAAACGGCAAACTTATATTATCCGCATTTTACAATATTTCGCAACGAAACTTTGGAATATTACTAATTTTGTTCATTAGGTAATAGGTCCATTAAATTAAAACGGGCTGAAATTTTGTCCATAATATATTAATTGAACAAGTCTACAGGGCTCTTTGGCTGCTTATTGCTTATAAACAGCCTCTTCCGTTTTCAATATTCGGTATTCTGTTACTAGCAAAATAATACACACAATAAAGTACTTCCTTGAAAGTTTTTTTAGTGAATCTAATGAGGAGTTGCAAGATATTTCAAATCCACCTCTTGTATAATAATCAGTTTTAATTTTGTGTTACAGCTCAAACGAGCAATTAACCGAGGCCGCTTTTGCATATTTTTAATGTTTTCAAATTATGACCACGTTTACACTTGTACCGGATACGTTTCCGTAGCGACGTGAAAAAGCACTTACCCGTGCGTTTTAGGAACGTTTTAGGAATTATTGCTGCCGAACGGCAACGAGGCAGCACACTATTCTTGAGATCTATGAAACTCGAGCCAGCCTCCTTAAATTTGCCGAAATATATATAAAGTCGACAGAATGCCGATTTTAGCGACCGATGTAGGATGTTCAGTTTTATGACGTTTTATGACGTGTGAGTTTCATATTATCCGTTTTCGCGAATCAATCGACATATCTCAGTACCGCAATATCCGCATTAGAACAAGACGCTCTGTTGATCTATGGCAGCGTTTAGTCGCTGGGATTTATATTAAAGATGATGTCCATTTCTGTGCTCATGCGCAAACTTTGTTTACGTTTTGAACTTCTATATTTGTAAAATATGATATACTATGTAACTGAATATCTACCACTTTTCTTGTTCGCTGTGCTTGGAAATGAATATGAAGTCTACGTTTCAATTAAAAAAAGTTCGAAAGATGCAAAATTTGGGGAATGTCTATATCTGGGGTCCCTCTTTGTTATGAGCGCAGAATGAAGTGGAAATCATCTTTAAAGTAGAGCCCTATTCTCCGATAGTAAAGGCCTGCACAAATTTGACGAGAGGTGCAAGTACGTCTAAAAGTATGAAATTTGTTGATTTACGCACTATATTGTTTAATTGTAGTACTGACATACAGTTTATGAGCACGTAATTAACGTAAAATGCGCCTAAATTTACAGCCAAATTAATATAACTTTCGATACCCATAAATTTTAAAAGTTTGAAATACAGTACTTCCTTGAAAGTTTTTTAATTTTAGTGAATCTAATGAAGAGTTGCAAGATATTTCAAATCCACCTCTTGTATAATAATTCAGTTTTTGTGTTACAGCTCGAACGAGCAATTAACCGAGGCCGCTTTTGCACATTTTTAATGTTTTCAAATTATGACCACGTTTACACTTGTACCGGATACGTTTCCGTAGCGACATGAAAAAACATTTACCCGTGCGTTTTAGGAACGTTTTAGGAATTATTGCTGCCGAGCAGCATCGACGCAGCACACTATTCTTGAGATCTATGAACTCGAGCCAGCCTCCTTAAATTTGCCGAAATATATATGAAGTCGACAGAATGTCGATTTTAGCGACCGATGTAGGATGTTCAGTTTTATGACGTTTTATGACGTGTGAGTTTCATATTATCCGTTTTCGCGAATCAATCGACATATCTTTACCGCAATATCCGCATTAGAACAAGACGCTCTGTTGATCTATGGCAGCGTTTAGTCGCTGGGATTTATATTAAAGATGATGTCCATTTCTGTGCTCATGCGCAAACTTTGTTTACGTTTTGAACTGCTATATTTGTAAAATATGATATACTAACTGGATATCTACCACTTTTCTTGTTCGCTGTGCTTGTAAATGAATATGAAGTCTACGTTTCAATTCAAAAAAGTTCGAAAGATGCAAAATTTGGGGAATGTTTATATCTGGGGGTCCCGTTTGTTATAAGCGTAGAATGAAGTGGAAATCATCTTTAAAGTAGAGCCCTATTCTCCGATCGTAGAGGCCTGCACAAATTTGAAGAAAGGTGTAAGTATACATCTAAAAGGTGAAACTGATTTGTTGATTTACGCACTATATTGTTTAATTTAACTTCTAGTACTGACATACAGTTTAGGAGCATGTAATTAACGTAAAATGCGCCTAAATTTACAGTCAAATTAATATAACTTTCGATACCCATAAATTTTGAAAGTTTGAAACCATTATACTCAAATATTATATATAGGCCACACAAAGGCTGTCTTCTACGCTGGGCATGCAAGTAGCAGTAATTTCCAAATGTTTGTTTTTCAACTCGTGCTCGTGGCAAGGTCCTCAGTAGAAAAAAGCCTTATTCAAAACGAATACATATGAAAGCGCGCAAATTACAAAAAAACATTATACAATAATTTATAGCAGAACTGGATTAATTCGTCAAAGCCCATGTTCTGGGGCCAGAAAGCAACTCTAGCTGCATGTTATTATAAACGGTCTTACTTTAGATATCAATTTGCGTGAAATAATTAATTTAATTTAAACAGCTTAACATAACACCTTAACACTTTTTCTTACACTTTAGAACATAGATATACGAGACTTAGAAGTCTCGTATATCAATGTTCTAAAGTGTAAGAGACCCTTATTCCAACTATATAGTGCATTCATATTGCTATAGTTTTTAGAGGGCGAATTGACGCGGTATATATATAAACGTCGTTTTGCAAAGCTATATTTATACGTCAACGATATCCAATCAATCGTATAATCAATAGGCTTAGGGAATAGTTTGCGTATTTCTTACAAATATATTACAACGTTGTCGTCATAAAGGGCGTAAAAAAAATACCTGTGGTTCCGGTTTCATATCGTGAAAAAATTAGGGTCAGTAGGTCGGAAATAATTTTTTTTTTGAATATTTTTTTCATGGTTTTGGCAGTTTTTTGCTGGGCGATTTGCAGTAGAGTCCCAATTACATCAATATTAACTAGAGATGCGTATTTAGGCAATTTGGTTCAATAATTAGTGTGACAACAGACGCCATTTTGGCACGCTGTACGAGCAGCCCGCAACCACCTGAAGAAAATAGGGTCGTTTTCATGTTTTTTTAAAAAAATAGTTTTTAAAATAGTTTTTAAAAAAGTTTTAAAAAGTTTTAAAGAGTTTTGAAAAGCAAAAAAAGTTTAAAAAGTTAGATTTTTAAAAAAGTTAAAAAAATTTAAAAATTTTAAAAAATGAGGGTTAGGGGTTAGTGGTTAGGGGTTAGGGTTAGGGGTTAGGGGTTAGGGGTTAGTGGTTAGGGTTGGGGTTGGGGTTAGGGTTAGTGTTAGGTGCCGCGAATTTATTATTATGATAAATTCAAAATTTGCCGCGAATTTATCATAATGATAAATTCGGACGTGTTTAAGAATTTACTCATATAGTAAATTCAAAGGTGGGGCTCATGCTGGAATTAAGTTGTACCTTCCGTATCGGATATAGGCGTGGTTTTTTCGCGCCGCTGCGGAAAGCTATTCTGTATAGTGGTTTCCGTATGGTCGTAAAAATAGAGTCACGATCTTAGTCAACGGCCAGCTTTTATAATAGTTTATACCTGTAAGCTACATATAAATCATAAGTATTCTCTAGTTATAATCACTCCGCGTAGTTTCAGGATAAATTGTTGTATTTCGGCTGATGAAAAAGATCGTGACACCACATAACCGGAAGATGTAAGTCAAAATAACTCGTTGGCGATTGGTTCGCCTTAATTTTAAAACATTAAGAATATGCAAAAACGGCCTCGGTTTGCCCGTTCGATGTGTAATATTTCGATGAAAATTGTTAGAAGATTTGTATTCCTGCCTGATAACATGCTGACATTTGAATTTATTAAAGGAAGCGCTCGAGTACTCCACTTATCAAATCTACGCATACTACACGTACCTTGCTACGGCCCCTCCTAACACCGCGGAAAAACATTAGATTTAATTACTTAATGGAAAGTGAAATTAAATAAAAAATGCACTAGACGGGTAGTTTGGACATTAATAAAAAGTTTTCTAACACTGATCTAAAATGAAATTAGAATTTAAATTAAAAATTATCGTTTTAGACTGGGACGGCGGGAGGCGTGTGAACACATTTCTTGATAAATTGTCGAAAAGTTAAGCCAACTATCAAACAGTTAAGCATTTGCACACGATTAAATTGTAGAGTCAACGCAAAAATTATACATGCATTGCAAAAAATGTTGAGAAAAATGTTGATCCGATATGAACCTACGAAAAATATCTTTGTATCAGTTCAGTTAAAGAACGTTTTGTACAACAAATTTATCGACAGTCACCTTTCATTTTCTTGCATAATACTACTTCTTGCGCATATATACTGTAATTATTTTTACTGTTTTTAGGTTGCCACATTCATTATTCGGTAATTGATAAAACTAGAATAGTGAAGCGAATAGTCGACGAATAGTACGAATAGTCCGCGAATAGTCTTTTCCACTCTCACCAGAAAAGGTTAGATTATCAGGTAGACCTGAAAATATTCGACAATCATTCAAATACATTTAGCTCTCTGGAGCATAAAAATTATATTAAATATCTGGGTGTACTTATTGATAGTGGCCTCACATGGAAAGATCATATCGACTACGTTGCTTCGAAAATAAGCAAATCAATTGGCATTATTGCCAAATTAAGACATTTTGTTCCAAGGAGTACTACATCGGATATATACAGATCTCTTATATTACCATATACCTCGTATGGTATTATTCTATGGGGTCAAGCTGCTAGGGTTTACCTTAACAAGATTTTTAAGCTTCAAAAGCGTGCTCTTCGATTAATGAACTTTGGGAAGTATAGATCCCATGCGATCCCTTTTTTTATTTCTGATCAAATTTTACCTATCGATATGCTTTATTTTAAGTCTGTTTCTGTGCTAATGCACGATGTTTATAACAAAATGACGCCGTTAAATATTTCAAATTTATTTATCCCGGCGCGTGAAGTTAACAAATGTAACACTAGATTCTCCTCTGGCAGCAACTTCTATGTTAAAAGTTCGCGTTTGGACAAGTTACATAGGTCATTTTCAAGAACGGGAGTCAGGATATGGAATAGTATATCTGATGATTTGTGTAATTCTTCTAAAAACAAATTCAAGAGAAAATTGCATGAGATATTGTTATCTATACTTACTATAGAGGAGGATTATGTTGATCTCGCTACAATAATAAAAAAAATTTCAAACATAAATTAAATTATAGGTAACCGCATATCTATGTTCTTACCTTGTTCCTTTTATTATTTTTTGTTGATGCATATGCTAAATTGCAACTGCGTAATTTTAAATCACGTAATATTATCTCTCTTATAGTTTCTCTTCTTATTCTTTCACCTTTTGTAAACTACATCTCAAATATCTATCCTTAATTTAATTTTTTTGTAATTGTCCGCCTCGATTAGCTTTTGCTACCTGCGGACAGATTGTTATTGTAAATATTTATAGCTATAATAAAATTGTTGTTGTTGTTGTTGTTGTATAGTGCAATAGAGACTTTGCATGCAAGGCTTTGCACCAGTGCTATAGAACTAAATTTACAGGAGGGAGAGGGGTTCTATTGACGAACATGAAATTGTGAAAATATTCGTTGACGTCAATGACGTAAAGCTCCAGACACACCGGACGCGATTCGACAACGCGACGCGATTTTTCGATTTTCACTGACCGATAACTTTGATCCTAGTTTAAATTTTCCGAATATTTAGAAGCGCTATAACATTTTGAGTTATTTGATCTACATATCTTTCAAAATTTGCTCTCATTGGATATTTTATTAAATATTAACTCTCAAAACCTATAAAAACTCGCGTCGCGTTGTCGAATCGCGTCCTGTGTGTCTGGAGCTTAAGCCATATTAGCCTGCAAACAGGCTCTTTGAATTGAATTAGACCCTGCCGGTTTAGTCAATAAAAATATCGGGATTGTTTGTGAGAGAGGTCCAGAATGGTCTGAAAGATTACGCCGGACATCCATAAAAATAAAATGTGCATTTTGAATTTGTATTTTCCCTTCTCTAGTCCGGATCACGTCTCAATGACGTGAGACTCGTCTATAACAAAAGCACAACATGAGCTCCACCTTTGAATTTACTATATGAGTAAATTCTTAAACACGTCCGAATTTATCATTATGATAAATTCGCGGCAAATTTTGAATTTATCATAATAATAAATTCGCGGCACCTAACACTAACCCTAACCCTAACCCTAACCCCTAACCACTAACCCCTAACCCTCATTTTTTAAACTTTTTAAATCTTTTTAACTTTTTTAAAAATCTAACTTTTTAAACTTTTCTTGCTTTTCAAAACTCTTTTAAAACTTTTTAAAACATTTTAAAAACTATTTTTTTAAAAAACATGAAAATTTATCATAATGATAAATTCGGACGTGTTTAAATTAAGAATTTACTGATATAGTAAATTCAAAGGTGGAGCTCATGTTGCAAAAGCAACCAAACGATTACGCAAATGACAACTTGAATATTTTAAAGCGTCAACTGAACACTTGTCAAGAACGTTTTCGGTCGATCCAAATATCAAATGAAATTTCCCCGATTTTATGTCCTCTATGTTCAGTTTGTCACTAACGGCGCAAACCGAGCTCATACCAAGGACCTTAGCATCTTCCATTTGTCCTCAGCGTGACGAACCTTGTCCTCAGCGTCACGAACCTTGTCCTCAGCAATATCTTACTATATTACTTGCCCTCAGCTATATAAACTATATTACAGGTATAAAGCTAAGAGAAAGCTCATTCTTTAATGTTCATCAAGTCCGGATCGGTCCAATTCTTGTTTCTACAACAATATATATATATATAGTACGTTGTTCTGATGGCGACGGGCATTATTTTCTTAACACAAAAGTTCTGATATGTTTTTTTATCAAGACCAACTTCATTCAACATTTTCATAAACGTGCTACTTGATTCTTTTGAGAAAACACCTAAGGCATGCACTAATAGACAAATTAATAAATTTGACAGTTTTTAAATGGTCTTTCTGCTGCGTAATTATAGATCCATGTATCTTTTGCAATCGGCTTACTTCGGAATCTCGGACCTGAACTCGGACTCGAAGAAAATCCGGACTCGAGAAAAACCGGACCCGGACTCGTATTTAAAAAAATCCGGACTTGACTTTTGAAAACCTGGACTCGAAATAGAAAAACGGATTTAAAACAAGGACTCTGTGTACGAGATAAACCATGGTCTCCCATTTTCTAATCTTCTACTGTTAACCTAATAATCACTTAGATATACTGGAACCAAATCATTTAGGCACTTTATTAATTTGTATATTTATGCATACTTCTACGAGTAGCAGTAGCTATATACGAGCGGTAGCATTTTGATTCTCAAAATAATATACACTTAATGTCTGCTCCCGAGGGAAATAGTTAGTTTTGTTTTCCCGAGAATCTCAATGTTTCCCGAGACGAAGTCGAGAGAAACATTAAGATTCGAGGGAAAACAAAACTAACTATTTCCCGAGGGAACAGGCATTAAGTGTTTTGTTATATAGCGACGAACAAAAATCAACTTCAACAACATTCATACAACAATTGTATTTCGTGACGAAAACTCTATAGTGTAAACGAGTTTAAAATTAAAAGAACCTACTTAAACGGTTTCAGCAGCATATCCTGTTGCCTGTTGTGTATTTTTCTTCTCTTTTATATTCTTTATTTGGACACAAACTTGCGGGAAAATCGTAGTTTCGAATGATCTGAGTTGTGCCTCCATTTTGTTTATTTATGTACGTGGCCGGTCGGGGCGGGCAACAATTTTTCACTTGTTGCCCGGCGGGAAACATTGCATTTATCTGAAGTCACGTGACCACAAATCAGCCAATCACGTTTGGTGTTCACGCTAGCTATACAGGGTGTCTAAAAAAAACCCAAAATCATTGAAATAACGTATTGTTCGAATTTCAATGCCGTAACACAAAGGATTTTGACAGGGTGATTAATTTGTTTTAAAAAATTAAAATATCTTTGTAAAGTGAACGTTTGTTTGCTCATGGGAATTTAAAAATGCTTCGTAAATTGTAATATGCGTAATATGCATTCGTAGGTTTAGTACTTTATGCCTGACATAACAAGTTTACGCTGAGTATTACCATTCATTATAGCAGTTATGTCAATCTTTTATGCACTCGTGGGATTAACTTAGTGCTAGGGCATTGAATATCGAACAATACGTCAATTTCAATGATTTTTTTTTTTTTTGAGACACCCTGTATAACAACTTGATTTATTCTCAAACTTCATTGTCAGTATTGAGCCGTTTTTCTGGCAATTGATGAACGCATTTCCTAACGTCTCAATATCGAATTTATACCAATCCACCAACTTGAATTTCACTGTCAGCAGCATTAGGCCTGTTAGTCGAATTTAGTCCGCGGGTGCTGCGACATATTTTTTGCTTCCACTTAAGATTGCTTTCATTGTGATGTGTTAGTTACTATATTTAATTAGGAATAATTGTGGATGTTCAATTTGTGTTTATGGTCTTTATCTTAACGAAATTGAGAAAATAAACGTGCGTCTTGCCCAAATATTTGAAAGCATATTATAATATTTATGTCCATCCGCACAACGCTCGGATTACTTCACAGTAGGTGCTTAGGCGCGTTTCCGCGACACCTTCATTGACATTGCCTTCAACTTGTGATGTTTTCCACTCTTTTTGATTGGTTGAATTTACTTTGCTAAAACGGAAATATTTTTTTTGAAAAGGCATTCATTGGATTCGCTGTCATTGAAATGATGGCCTAAGCCACAAAACGCGGTCGAGTTATTTTTACGTGTCATTTTGACAAATTTTTCGACATTTTTCTTAAAAAGGCGAGTTCAACCGTTTAAGTCGAAAAGTGTGCTGTCCACTGTAGTAGCGCATCAGTACTTGTATATGAGGTCGAATGTGTTCGGGGTATATTCTGCCCTTGCCCGGCGCCATCACGTTGTCTGCTATGGTTGCAGCAATCGTGTAACGAGATGGTTTCCAGCCAGAAATCCTGACTGCTGAGACAGATTTTCGTTATTAATTTAGGTCAAGGGTAGATTTAATTAGCTACTCGCAAATGTATGCATAAATGCATTTTGGTGTTTAACTGCCTAAATGATTTGTTCAGGTATATCTAGCTAATCTATAAAGTGATTATTTTTTGAGGAACCATAGTCCACATTTATTACTTGTGGGGAAGACATTACTTATTAATAAAGTTCCGGATACGGGTATTTCGTATGGCGTCATATCACCGCCAATATTCATGTATATCATGCTTTCGACATTGAAGTTAAATAGGACAATCAACACCCATGCGTTTTTGACATGGAAATCAGTTAAACTGGACATTGAACATGCCGCGAATTTAGCACCGATCGCAACTTCCACATGTTGAACGATTGCGTCAAATCTCCGCCAATAAAATTAATTTATTAAGCTAACACAAGACAACCTCCCGGCGAAATTCATTCGGGTCCAGATCTCTAGAACATGGTACGCGAATCTCATAAAATAAAGAATATTTAAAGAGACTCGCCAACAAGGCCTAGTATGCGCTCTAATCAATTGCATTTTTCAGCATGTTAATGGTTATGCATTACAACTACATTTACAACATTAAATTTTGTGTCAGTATGTATATTGTATTAGAATCTCTAGATCTGAGAAGTAAAGTCAAAGAAATATTGCATGTGATGAAATGTGGAAATCTCCAAAATGTATTTCCCTGTAATACAATATGACAAGTTTACAATGCTTTGCATAATATAATATTTTATACTATCGATCTTTGAATTGTGCCCTGTAAATTATTATCGTGTATATCTCCTGTAGTGCAAAATGCTCTAATGTATATAAATTATGCACGATTCCAGGTTCCGGTTCCTGTATCGCTGCATCGTTGTATCGCTTTTTAGTAGCAGCCTGATTTCTGTCACAAACACTTAAGTTTTTGATTCACGAAAGCCGACTGGAAGTACAACGTACGGAACACATAGATCTTGAATCACACTCCCTGTACACGCAATTACACCATAGCGTACGCCTATATTTTTACCATTTGATATTCACTCATAATTTATTATTTTTCTTTAGATTTAAAATCAGCTGAGTATGTTATATAAAATTCAGTATGATATTATTTCCGTTTTCATGAAACTTTTATACAAGTTTACAACAGTCAGGCGTCAAAACTTGTAAAATCATCTGGTGATTAAAATTAAAGCCTATTGATAAATCTTTTTCAGATATTCGTAACAAACTCGATGAATCCACCAATCCATGTGATGATTTTTACCAGTACAGTTGTGGGGGATTCTCAAACAATACTCATCTACCTGACGGTAAACCGTACGTGAATTCATTCAGTGTAGCAGACGATTTCGTTCAAAATGCTTTGAGAGAAATATTGCAAAATGATGACTTGATGTCAGGTTACTCCGAGGTACTGTAATTTATCATACTGTTAACAATTCATAACATTTGACAAAAAAGTGATAAAATGCTGTACATATAAGTTAGAACCATGCAGTGTATTATGGGCCACTAGCCTGATATTCAGGCAGTTAAGCACCCAAAATTCAAGAACCACTTCAATGCAAAACGTTTGACTCAAAAATTTGAGTAAACTTACGTTTACACGCTACGGTTAATCGTGTACGATTCGTATTCTGGCTTATTAAAATGAGTGCTGGCGCCATAATTCACTGCCGTTTCGTTGAAAAGAAATTTCAAATGTAGCCAGCTTACGCGTGTTTACTCAATGACATACGCCAGAAAACGAATCGTACACGATTAATCGCAGCGTGTAAACGTCGCTTAAAGTTTACAATAGTCAGGCGTCAAAACTTAAAGGTACGTTTACACGCTACAATTTGTCGGACCGATTTAGCTTTAATAGACCTTATGCATAATTACGTCACAAGACTTGATGCCCGCGAGCAATGCTGGTCTTGGTAAGTCATCCGCCGGGAAAATTTCGATAGTAGCCATTTTGGATTGTTTAATTTTCCCTGGCGATGACTACTAAGACCAGCATTCCTCGCGGGCATCAAGCCATATGAAGTCTTATGCATAAGGTCTATTAACAACGTCATCTGGCGACATCGTCAACTGACAACATTCGTCATTAACATACGACAAAACCTGAAATCGGCCCGATTAATCGCAGCGTGTAAACGTACCTTAAAATGCTGCACCCACATGTAGTGACTCAAAATTACGCGAACCGAGTTAGACCGAGTTATGACCAAGTTTACTCACTTTGTAAATTAAAGGAAATTTTTATTTGAAATGTTGTATCTTTATATGTGATAGAGATTTCCCTTGATTTACATAAAGTTTAACTTTGATTTTCTCGACTTACACAACGTATTTTTTGAAAATTACTTCGCCAAAGAACTTATTTGGCCGATCGTTTTTGAAGCAATATAAAACTAATTCGCAGTGCGTGTTTTATCAGACCTATATAAAGATACTCGGCTTCGCCTCGTATTTTTATATCTGACAAAACACTGTTGCTCATGTTTTAAATAGTACGTAAAAATTGAGCTGATTTAAACTTCACTCAAAATATTTAATGATTAAATTTGCTTATAACTGTGGCTACATTATTTTACTTGAGTCAAAATACTTGGGGATTTTTCATTTTTATAGTGTTCATGTTGACAAATTGCCTGAGTGGTTCGCAAGCTCAGATTGCCATCAGTGCAATTATTATAAATTAAATACTTATAAACGGGAACGGATAAAGTATGAGCTAGGATAATTTGCCTATTTTTTAATGAGATTTAGATCACTGGGAAGGAGATTTGCACCAGCAATTTCGCTTGCAATGGGATTTGAAAATCAGTGGGTATAGTGCAACTGAGATTCAGACCAAATTTTGGCGGGGAAAATAGGATTGAAAGCATCTTTTGCCATCCTCGCATGTACTGTAAAAACCGATTGGTTAAAATAACAAAAAAAATTGAGTTCGTTGTCTCAGGTGAAAAACATAGGATATTTAACCCAATTTTGAGGTACCGTAATTTATCATAATGTTATTCATAACATAATATTGGTATTTCATACTACTGTTATTCATAACACAATATTGCAGTCAAACGAAAATGCATCGGAAAGGCAACCAATTCTGATTAATTATTTTATCCAATCTGAGTGTTTTTACACTGTGAAATTAGAATTAGCAGAACTAACATGCCTGATTTCACACTAAGTATAATTATGTTTTATCAGAAACATTTCAGAAAAATTTCGCATGTGAAAATGCCTCACGTGTGAAGTGTTCCAATACCACAGGTCACATGAGAAAATTCTAAATTTTACATCGGAAATGACGATTTCACATGTGAAGTTCCAATTCCTCATAAAATTTTACATGTGAAATGATGTGTGGATTTTCCTTGGAGGTTATTTCACACAGAAAAGATCTTATTCATTGAAAACTGATAAACTAACACTATGATATCCCAATCTCCAACTTCTCCATTGTGTTTAGGATTCAGCTGTCTATAAAACCTTCACATACTACAGATCTTGCATGAATAAGAATTATATTAAAAATGATGGGGTTAAACCAATTCTCGACGCGATCGAGCAACATGGCTCCTGGAAAATCACCAACAAGGACTGGAATGGAGATTCTTGGAAGTTAGAAAAAATTCTTGCCAGGGCATTGGTTGACCTTAACACTCCAGCTTTTCTATCTTGGGGTATATCACGAAGTCTTTTTGACACATCTAAAAAGTTTGTTACGGTAGGTTGAAGAATAGACGCTTTCCAAGATAGCTTTTTTACCCTGTGTTGATAAGTACGTTTTCTGAATTGTGTTGCCCATAGTCCTGATTCCTAGCCGATTCGTAACCAGGATTCCTGATTAATTTAACCAGCTAGGCTATATGGTTGTATTAGCTAGACTACATTTGGTGGATTATTAACGAGACATTTTGGGTTATACTTATTGATATAGATAGTTTGGTTAAGTTTAATAGTCTGGTTAATTCAACCATATAGCCTGGTTAAACTAACCTGGAATCCTGGTTAAATTAGCCTAGACAGTGGTTAAATTAAAAACCGGGAAATTTAACCAGGAACATTAAAGCCTGTTTCACACGATGAAATAAGCATACGGACAAGAACGTTTACACATATGAAACAAGTATCAAATGTATTATTCCACGTGTGAGACAAGCATAAGCACAAGGAAAGGGAAGGAAAGGAAAGGGAAGGAAAAGTTTATTTTACTTTGTGCTTATGCTTATTTTATCTTGTGAACCAGGCTTAAGTTACCCCAAACAGTGTTGATTTTAGGTTAACCAGGAAATGTTTAACCAAAGTGTTTTAGTAAAAAACATGCAAACTTCCAAATCCTTGTATGTTCCGACTCAGCACAATATTAGAAAGTCAATATTAAGTAGGGAGAATCGGGACTTTACAGCTAGGGAATTTATTTTAAAGGATATGCGAGATTTGTATTAGAAAAAGAAAATCCACACCAGGTATATGTTTGTAAGATTAGGCTTTTTGAAGTTGGCCTGCAACCCAACAGTTGAGGCCCGCATTTAGAGTGTGAAATTTCTATGAATGCAGCTGTTAAATCAATTTAGTCGTCCGTTAAAACATCAAATTGTGGTGTTAATTGAACAACGAAATTGGTTGACACTTAATGTACTGTGTTAACGTTCTCTTTCTTGAATACCATATAGATCGGTGGAGGAATTTCTGCTTATGACAGACGACTAGATAGGAAACGATCTCGTTCGAGATTCCCGCAAGATTACTTAGAAGATGAGGTAGGTTCATGTTTAAAGAGCTAATCTTTTGAAGACGTCAATATGATGAAGTGCCAGTATGGAATTCGATGCAGCTTTTTTAATTTAAACTTAGTTGCAAGTGAGAAGAGTGTTTGGAGTTTGGGTCTGGCAAACAAGGGCCCACTGTAATTGGTGTTAAGCTGTTGTGGTGTCCCAGCTTCTTTAATGCAATTATTGTATAATGTTTGGAAGCGAAGCACAATAAATAAATAAGTAAATAAAAAAAACACCGCAGGTTTCCTCAAAACGAAGGCCGAATAGCGTTTTTAAGATTTCTAAATTTGTCCGTTGGTTGATTGATAATAACCCTGATTAAACTGTTGTATAGTTAAATTTCTACCTTTTCAAGCATTTTATAACTCCGTTCTTCGTTGATCCCATATCAATATTATGATTTCATAGGTCCAAGCAAATGCATGGTTTTAACTGCTTTCGAAACGTTAACTTACAGTCAATTCCGTGTGTGCACACGTGTGCATATCGGGCTTCGCTGCCTGTCCTTGAACTCCTTGAAAATTACTTAAATTGAAAAGTTAATTTCAAGGGCACTTTATATTAATAAAAAATCTTTGAAAATAAAGACACGTGCTTGAAAATATTTAGTATACTTGAAAACCACCCGAAATATTATTTAAAGGCACAGTTCAGCCTTTTGAATGATAGTTTTTAAGGCACGTTTCAGCCATTTTAATAGACCTTTAATTCCCCTTATGAGTGAAATTTTGATCTAGATATGCCTGGACAAACATTTCATCACAGCTTGAAAGAGTATCACTAAATTAGTAATATTCCGATGTTTCGTTGCGAAATTTTGTAAAATTCGGATAATATTGCCTTGTGAAGTTTGATCATCTGATTATCAATTTCCCGTGCGTAATACAAAATAACTGAAAAACGGCAAACTTCGCAAGACTATATTATCCGCATTTTACAACATTTCGCAACGAAACTTGGAATATTACTAATTTTGTGATGCTCTTTCAAGCTGTGATGAAATTTTTGTCCAGACTGCATGTCTAGATCAAAATTTCACTCAAAAGGGGAAAGGTCTATTAAAAAAACTAAATAGGAAAATTAATTATACGTAATTCAAGATCAGAAAACTCAATGTTTTTTAACAATAAAAATGTTGTAAAATGTAGAGAACATTAAGTTTGCTGATCTGGAATTATGCTTAATTGATTTTCCTAGTTAGTTTTTTCAATTAAAAGGGTTGAAATGCGCCTTAAAAACCATCATTCAAAAGGCTGAACTGTGCCTTTCTAAGAAGTAAAATCAACACTATTTAATAACATTGCTTTGTGCTATACTGCAATGCATCGTGCGAATCCAAAATATCCATTCAATATGAAGTACTGTTAATGCGCTTAACCTATAACACGGTGTACACCAACTGTTATACGTTATATACAGGTCAAAATAAACGCAATTCATCTTTTGTGCTTATTAACTTTCGAAATACTATTTCTAGTTAAACGCTTTTAGGCTTACTTCAAAGCCTGTTCTTTTCTCTTTCAAACAGACTATTATCCTTGTCTCCAATGCTAGTAATAATTGCACAGGAAAAGATTTAGTAAAACCTATCATTTTTAGTTGCTGTTTAATTATGCAAGTTTACTATGTTATTGTTTAGTCGGTTTAAATGTTAGAATTTTCTTCTTTAAACTTTAATGTTGTCGTCACTACATCTGGAAAACCACGTAAGAACAAATTAAAAGTATTTTAAAAGAGACCAGGTTGTTTGAAAATCCTAAACGAATGCTAAAAATCGTCAAAACATTCTGGTGTCTGAGCCAGAGTGTCATCGAATTGCGATGTAATGTAAACAGAAATTATAGCAAGTTGATGTCAGTCAGCTTAGATGGTCCAAGCCAAAATTATATCGCATTTGAAGTTTCAAACTGAGTTAAAAATAGTGGAAGAAAAGCCGTAATTATACTTATTGTTACAATCCATTTAATAAAATGCAACATTTTTTTGTTTTAATGAAAAATCAGTTATTTTCATGAGAACGATTTGTTATTCCATCTCAATTTTTTTAATCTCCAATCGCAATAACGTAAAATATTATTACCCGCGAACCAATGAGTCAAATTTAAGAAACAACCCACTGTTAGAAAGCTGAATGGCTACGCTTTAAAATGAATGTAAACTTTAACGGTTTCGTCTATTATTTGTTTAACAATTTACATTTCAGTCGAGGTTGCGCTTTTTTTTTATACACCCTGTATATGATTATATTATATTATGTGCTTGAATATTTTCTCGCCACTCGAAAATCAATCGGTTCAATAGGTAGTAATCACAATAAGTTAAATGGAATACCATAGTTTAATTCTTCAAGGGGAGTAGAAATGCAGGTGCGTACCCCCTGAACCCTCCGGTAGATCCACCTGTAACTTTGTCAACAGATCAGCTCAAAATTATTAGGTACACAAAGTGTGACCAAGCTTTCAAAAATTGCAAAATGTCTATAAAATACGTTGTACAATTTGGTAAAGCTCAGTATACATATACGTACATTTATCCAAATATGGTCAAACGTGGTGAGTTGCTTTTTCTAGTAATAGTACATTTAATTTCTTAATTTTTTAACACGTGTCCCGTTCTCGTCATCAACTTTAACACGTGTCCCGTTTTCGTCATAACCGAGAATTTCATATTGTGACTTATTCTCTGTGTTTACAGGATCCAGATACCTATGAAGACTATAAGACTCTGATGTCAACTATATTCAAACTGCTTGGTTCTAATTCTAATTCTAACTCGAACATTGACGAAGAAGTGAATCGTATTATTGATTTGGAAAAAGAATTTAAGAAAGTATGCATTATCAATTTGTTTGCAGTCAAAATACAAGAACCTTGAGTTCCCACTTCCGCTTGGGCCAGTCTGTTGTCATTTACTGTGCATTGTTCTGTATTGTTCTAGCGGTTTTCAAATTATGTTGTAATACTGTGGCAATGTTAATTTTGTTCGTTTTTGCGTTGGATAAATAGTGTGGGGTTTTCCTTTTATCCGGAAACTATGTCACCAGGCAGAAAATAGGGTCTATTGATTTATACAGTAAATGGCAGAAGAGGATAATACACTGAAACTATAAATACGTATTTCGGATGACTGCTTGGCTGTTTTGCCAGTAGACATTCCTTATAACGATGTCAAACGCGGGAAACCTATGTATGCGATATCCCACAGGGCAATGTAAGTGGTTGGCAAGCTAACAAATTTAAATTGTCCCTTTTTCCACATTTGACTGAAGCCCTTTGACTGGCTAGTGAAAATCTGTACGTAGCTCAGAATACTCGAAACTTTCAATTAGAAAAACAGCTATAGCAGTTACAGTATGCAAAATACGTCTTTATACTGTGGTTTTCAACTTTGAACAAATTAATAAAACTAGGAGAACTGAACATAACAAAAATACAAAATGACGTGCTAAGTTTAGCCGTTGTGGAAATAATTCTTGCATGGTAATCTCTCAATGTCCATTAAATTGTGCAAGTTTTCGGAACGCATCACTGGATTCCACCGCTTCTATTCCGGTGGTCGCGTTTAAAAATACAGTCACAAAACATTGAAAAGTTATGTTCGGGACTGTGTGAAAGATGACTGAGTTCACTTCATGTTCAGGTGATCGCTTAACTAAAGATCACTTCAACAGCATTTGCATTATAAACTTTTGGGGACTTTACCTAATGACCGCTTAATGCGGTGCCGCTTAATACAGCTTCGACTGTAAGTACACATTAGAAAGAATAACTTTTTATCCATTTACAGGTTAAGGGGCATTCTACCAGTATAGATCAACTTAAAAATAACATCAAGTTTATGACAGTTGATGAGTTGAACAGCTTCACATCGTACAAAGTAAGATTTACAAACTTTTGTTACCTTCATGCCCTTGTAACACACCTTATTGTTTTTATCCATAGTCTATCAAGATGACATACCTAGATACTAAACCGAGTCATTGTGTTATGTTTTTTTCTGAATTTATATCAATTAGTTGTGCATGCATGCTCTTATCGTATAATGAAATAAGCGTCCAATAGGGATAGCTGAGATGAAATATGCAACGACGATGAATAATATTTAATGAAATTGACACAAAGGATTGGTGTACGTTGAGGCAGCTTCAGTTGAACATCAAACAAAGGACTTATACAGGGTGTCCCAAAAACCCGAAAACTATTGAAATCACTTATTGTTAAATTTGAATGCCCTACCAAACAGCTGGACCTAATAATGCGTAAAATATTTACAAGGTGCATATATTAGAATTTAGTTAGGAATATCTCCTGGTAAAGTGCGCGATTTTCTGTTCCTGGGAATTAAAAACAGCTTCTTAAACAGTTTCTTTATGCATAAAATTTACTTATGTCAATCATTTATGCACTCGTGGGAGCCAACAGAGCGCTAAGGCATTCAAATTCTAACAATTAAATTGCTATTGGTGATTTCAATAGTTTTCGTTTTTTTTGGGACACCCTGTATTTTGTAGCTTTGAGATTTGCCATACCATACCAATATACCATACCATACCATACCATACCATACCATACCATACCTGTAGCATAGCATAGCATAGCATAGCATAGCATAGCATAGCATAGCATAGCATAGCATAGCATACCATGGCATAGCATAGCATAGCATAGCATAGCATAGCATAGCATAGCATAGCATAGCATAGCATAGCATATCATAGCATAGCATAGCATAGCATAGCATAGCATAGCATAACATAGCATAGCATAGCATAGCATAGCATAGCATAGCATAGCATAGCATAGCATAGCATAGCATACCATACCATACCATACAATACCATACCATACCATACCATACCATACCATACCATACCATACCATACCATACCATACCATGCCACGCCACACCATACTTAATGCCATGCCTTACACTATAATTTCTACTTTTCCAGTTTGATTGGAACTTGTATTTTGAGGAAATACTTAGTGGCACAAATAAAAGAATTCCATCATACAAAACGTTGATGATAATATACCCCGACAAAATCAAGAAGATTGTTGACTGGCTTCACGATAAACCCAAGAGGTAGCTACACCATAATCATTTACGTTTAGAATGATATAAAACTCCCCTAGCGACTTTTTATAATACCTCACCTTGACATATATAAGCCACTTCATATATTGCTTATAGTTATATATCATCTTGGATTAGTTTTGTCCTAATTAAACGGTAGTATTGTGACGTCAAAACAGGATTAGCCGTATAAAACTACTCCTAGGGGACCAAACAAAAAGGATGTGATGTCCCCTCAATGAATGACCAAATATGGAGTTTTATTGAGTTTATTGAGTTTCTCACTCATTGGTGAGCGGATTTCCCAACAGGCTATTGCCCAATTGATAGGGGATCTGAGGTCACGATTTTTTAAAACATCTTTTTCCGAGAAGATGCGATTCCCTGTATAGGTAGCTCTTTCTCCTTAGTTAGTTTAATTTAAAAATCTGAATAGAGGCGCACAGGTTTGGCATAATATTTAACGGTGTGACGTCATAACGTTGATACGAAAAAAAATATTAAACGCTATGACATCATGGCATTGGTGAAGGTGTCGCAACACCAATGGATTCTTACAACCGGTCGCTATTTCTTCTTTTAAATAAATACTAAAAAAACCCTATTGAATTCGGTTTTTACATGAATTGAAGAATTATCAAGATTTTGCCTCGTGTAACATGGCCTGTTGGGGAGACGTAGAACGTGTTTCGTAACGACTTCGTATAGACTTTACTGTTCATTGCACTTTAAATTAATGGCCTCATTTTCATGTTTGCCTGTTTTAACATGGCTGCAGGCGCACATGAAGGTTACTTCCCAACGATTCGCGCACAAATATATTTATCTTTGTTCTCTATCCCAATTACAATCAACTCATCTTTAATAGTTCGTTGTTAGATTGATATTGTGTGTATATCAATAGAAACGAAACCAATTCGTTCATGCCTGTGATATAGCAGATGTTGTTTCAAAACTGGGAGATGAGGTTGTAAAAAAATTTAAAGTGTATTACGAATTCTTGAATTTTTAAATTGAAGAACTTTGAAATTTTATAAATATATGGAAATACCTTTCTGAGGCTTGATAAACGCAAATTTCCTTGCGACGACGATGGCACTGTAATCGTAAAAGTCTATTTGTAAGCTGGTGTACACGAAGCATGGTAATTAACCACATAAAAATGAGGTTATTTGCATGGGGGCAATAAACAGTACAGTCTATTCTTACGGTTATCTCCGCTTGAATTGGTTCGGTTTCGTGGGCCTCTTTGAATACAAGAGGAAATCGAGCCAATTTGAGCACGAACCTGAGATATTTCTTGTCCATTTTAGTTTATTAGCAAACGAAATAATGTGGAACGTTGTTCGAGGCTTTGTACAGACACTACCGAAGGAGTATAGAGAAGCAGAGGATAAATATATAAAAAGTTCTTCTGGTATAACTATTCCAAGATGGCGGACATGTAATCTTTTGACAGACGGTCTTTTTCAATATGTTACAACTCTACTGTATGTAAACAGGCACTTGTCAGAAGATGCTAGGAACACGGTAAGATTTAATGTTAGTTTGCACCATAGTTAATAGAAGATATGGTTTGGAAACTTCTTAGAATAAAAATATCACTCAATATTATACCTCAAATTCAAATTGTCCAATGAAAACACAGCATTTGTACCACGTGATAATGTGGTTTTTTACAGTATTTCACTCAGATTCATGATTTCGCAATGCAGCGTGAGATACTATAATATCCCACGGAAGATCCGCCGTGGGATATTATAGTATCCCACGCTCACGTGGGACGCGTGAACACCACACTCTAAAAAAATATGGCGTTCGCGAGCTGTTGTTTGTAATTTCGTACAGAATATTTGATTTAACCAAAAATTTTCAAGACGTATGTTACCTTTAATGATCAGAAGGATACATGCTCAAATATTTTAAAGAGGGAACGTCAAAAACTCAGGTATACATAAGAAATTAAAAATTGTATTCGCGTAGTTAATATTCAGCAAGTTTTAAAGTTTATTCTGAATTTAGTGAGTTCTTTAACTTTTGGTATATTATATCATTTATAGACCCTCCGCTCGGGGGATTTGGCGATATTTCCCTCTGTAATGATATTTTCCTCAGAGCAAAGCCCCTCGGAAAATATCATCACTTCGGGAAATATTACGCCAAATCCCCCTCGCTCCGGGTCTATAAATTATTATATGGACAATGGTGTTTTACTGGAAACTAAAACACTCGAAGAATTAGACCAATTCGGTGTTTTGCTGGACTGCTCATTCATGAAATGATGCGTCTTGAGGTGGGAAGAAATTGTAAAACATGTATAGATCTAAGATCGAAAGAATTAGAATATGCATGTCAAAGTATTGAACTGTTCAATCATCATTTGTGTTTCACTTACTGTATATAGTCACATTAGAATCGCAAATTATATCAATTTTGTGTGGCGTATTTTGCCTACTGTGTAAGCAAAATAGAGAACCCTTTCTCTAAGAGAAGATATTTTCTAATTTTGACTTTTCTAATTTTGGGCAACGTTTGCATATTCAAATAATGCTTAAACATGAAAAATATGTCTGACCACGGTGGGAAATGAACCTACGACTTTGGAATACCAGCCCAATGCTCTACCAACTGAGCTAGGCGGTCTGTGATATTTCGGGTATGTGATATTTCGGAACAGAATCTAGTTCCTTCGATATCAATGTTATCAATAATAATCATGAATTTTTCTGTGTTGGTGTAATGTGCTCAGGTGAATATGATGCTTGTGATGTTACTCTGAGTGTATATCCGCACCGGGCAAGCTTGAAAAATATGCCTGACCACGATGGGAACATTTGAATACCTGCATATGCATATTCTAATTCTTCCAGTCATAGCTACTTGTAATATACAGTTTGCAATTACAATCTGTTCGAAGAACAGAACGCACATCATTTGGTTTATTAACTACAATTTGTTTTTAGGCAAAAGAAATGTTTGAAGAGATAAAAAGTCAGTTCATTGATGGCGTGGGAGAACAAACATGGATGGATATTTCAACCCGCGCTCATGCTCGTCTTAAGGTTAGTAATGTAGCAAAATTTTAGTCAATGACATGCTTTTATATTCAATTTGAACAATCCAATATTTCTTGCGGATACAGCTATATAAACTAATATGGAATACGAGTAACTAAAAGAAATGAAAGACGAGACAATTTTGAAAAAAATTAAAAAAATTAAAGTAACTGATTCGATTTGGCGCATTTGTACATGTATGTAATGTCCTGCTTACTTCTAAAAAAGAAATAACTAAGACAGTCGTGTTTATTTGTCATATAACCGTGTTTTCTTTTTACACAGCTGCAGAAAATGACAGATTTGATTGGTTTTCCAACGGCTATTAAGAGGCCAGGGATACTGGACCGGGTTTATGATGATGTAAGTCAGTTTAGCCAACTTCGCTTGCTTAACTTTCCTAAATCTTTCCTTTTAGAACATTGTGTCATATTGTATTACATAGCTACTGGATATACCCTTAGGACTAGATATAATTACTTAATTTTATTTATATATTACTACATATTGATCTTAACGAGATGGGGGTTTCACCGGGGGCTCCGGTTTCCTCCAACAGTGAAAATTGACAGAGTAGGTTATAGGATAAACACAATTAAGAAAGTAATATCATAATACTAGATTCCCTTAATTACGTTTTCGTAGCGCTTTACATTGTGGTTATAGTGGTATCACTGATACTCAAGATGGCTTATTTTTTGTCCTGACCCGTGCAAGGACTTTTAAAAAAGCTAGGATCAGGTGCGCGATAGCCAACAGCAAAATATTCGCGAAAACATTCAATATTTTCATTCGAGGCCGTTATCTTTATCAGTGATACCACTATAACCACAATGCAAAGCACTACGAAAACGTAATAGGGGGAATCATCAATTGCTGTAAAAGATAAAATAGTCGAGGCTTAGTATGTAATTAGGTAAGCGTAATATTTGATGCAAAGCGAATTTGATCATGTCCTCGCTATCCCCCACGTGTAAATTTGCACTGAAAGGAAGAAATCTTAAACAACAATCGATGAACATCGGCTAATTATATTGAATAAATCCTAGCATACACTGGAAACAATTTTGAAAATCCATAGAAGGTCATAGAATGGAAATTGTGTGGACCTTTATTGGAAATAGAATGGATTTTGGTTAATATCCATAATAATTGTATATTTCCATACTATGGATATAGTACCGAAATGGTAAGGATATAATATGGATTTAGTGGTGCAATTGCAAATTTCATAGTATGGATTTCACTTTTTTCCCAGTGACATCCACCGTGGTTAATGTCATTTCCAAGAAAGGGGTATCTTTTAAAGATTTTGTTTGGCCATCGAGCACTAGCATACTGAACAAAAAATTGCCATCGACTTTTCAATATTATATCCGGCCGGTTCGGTTGCATAATTTTAGCTACAATCCCAAACGAAAATCGACGATACTACTAATTATTGGCTTAAGTTTCGTATTATTATCACAAACTTAGAGTGGGAGGTGGGGGGAGGAAGGGGGTGATTTTCAAAGCTTAACTAACCCCAATATATTACTTAATCTGTGACAGAGGCAAAGTTTGTTTATTTATTTACTTTAAATAAAAATACAAAATAATAAAAAAACACAAAATGATTATACGTATTGAAATTCAGATGTCATTTATTGTGCTTCAGATTCAAGTCGATCAACATCACCTTTTCCAAAATACGCTGAATGTTTACCAAGATGGGTATAAAAAGGAGATAGATGGATTGGACAAAACTCAGGATGAGTTGGATGACACTGCCAGGTATTTAACGATAATTTTGATAATTTAAGTTTACTACCTCTCTGTTCAAGAAAAGATCTATGTCGAAATTCGAAAATATGATTTACGGGAAAATATGCAAAGAAATACATCATTTTGAGCGACATGTGTGTGGATTGTGTATAAAATTATTTTCATGAAATACCGTTTGAATTATAAGTCCATTTGTGAGACCTAGTGATCACTCCCAACATGGAGACTGGTAAACGTGAGACTTTGTGATGTAGAAATGCAGAGGCGGTGCCAGAATTTTTCGGTCAGTAAACCGCCAGTGTCACCATGCGCTGCATGCAGTAAGAACCAGTGTTACCACTTTCAGTGTACGTTACATTCGGTGATATATGATAAAATGATATATTCACCGCGCGAAATACGCGTTTAAACGCGCATCTCAAAGTGTTAGCACGAATCCAACCAACACAAACATGAAGACATGGACTAGAATTGGCGATACTAGAAATATGTTATGATTATTGTCTAGGAAATTATTAGGATATTCGATAATATCGCGATGAATGCAATACGTTAACAGTTATGGTTACAGTTTCAATTTTGTACTCATTAGACGAACATAGTAGGAGGTTTGTACCTGTGTATTTATAGTTTGTAAAACTGTTAGTCTTGAAGTTTTTTCATATATATGGCGCCAGTGATTACCTTTTTCGAATTGGTCTATACGCCACATCATAGATAATTAAAGATAGAATTAAATTTCCAAGAATAGAAATGTAGGCGCTTTATTGCAGCTATGAGTTATCATCTGGAAATGGAGTTCATACGAACTTGTGAAAATTCCAATTCTTGATCTTCCGTAGAGACTTGTTTTGTCCCGAAAACTCGCTCAGCTGACATATTTAGTAATTTAACTAGAAAGCTTCGAAAAATAACGCTTGATATGAAAAATCTCAGGTGAAAATTTAAAAAAAATTTGAAATCAACAGGAAATTTGCTTTATTTGACTTTCCAGCCAAGGTAGCACGTTGCCATGGGACTGACATGACGTACCTAACAATGACGCAACCCTCCTTTTTTGCCTCCCGCACATGGCCTGCGTACATGTGAGCGGGCTGGGATGCTTTCGATTGCTTGGAATGCTTTCGAGTTACGGAAAAAATTTGCGACGCCGCCACTGTCGAAATGACGTTACTGGGTTAAGAATTTGGGAAAGGGTTGACGTTAAGATTGGATTTATTAATTTCTTTGCAGGCTTTCATCATTAACATACCTCTCAATCAACGCATTTTATAATCCTGAAGCAAATGGAATGAGTAAGTTATTCAGTTATTAAATTCTTTTCCACTCATTCTTCCTCTTTTCCTCAACCAATTATGCCGTTTCCTTGCCTTCTTCTCTTTCTTTCTTTATGCTTTCTTTCTTTATGCTTTCTTCCCTTCTTCATTCTTTCTCTCACGCTCTTAATTAAGTCACTTTCCTTTCTCCCTTTTCTACCTATATTCAACTATGTACAAACCACCTTTATCTGGTTATACCTGTACCTATAGTACCTACTTCCTATTTTATCTATATCAATCACTTAACTTAAAGGTACCTACATCCTATCTCTGCTTATACCTTGTCTCTGCCTACCAATTAACCCGTCACTATAAATGGTATCTCCTTGAAGTTTGCATGAAAATATTAACTTTTTTCTGTGACCAGAACAAAACTGTGACAAAACAAAAATTTCTGCCAATATATTCCGGCATCGTACAACAACAGAACAACAAAGCGTTTCTGTGAAACAACAAAGAAATATTTTGCCAGTATTGTGTCGTGTGGTCAACTCGGCAAGAACGGTAAAAAGTTAATTTCGCATTTGTGCTGCAATGTAGTACATCCAATTCTCCCTTCGTTCATTTTTTGTTTGGCTTTCTGTCTAGTTATTTCTTTTTTACGATAGGCTTACTGAAATTTTTTATTGTTTACCTTGCAGCTGTCTTGGCAGGAATATTACAACCACCTTTCTACAAACACGACAGACTGAAGTAATACACTTTTTTGTTTTCATTTACTTTTATTGCAACTTTTATTGTAACTTTTATTGTAACTTTAAACTTTGGCTCTTTTGCATCCCAGGGCGTTAAATTATGGATCTCTTGGTATGGTCGTAGGTCATGAAATCACACATGGCTTTGACAAGACAGGTGGGTGATAAATACAGGGGGTGAATGAGGGACATATGATAGGCATGTTTTGTGAGTGCATTCTTCAGAAAGCTAATGTAGCTCAAGAAATAGTAATTCGAGTATTTCATAATCATGTTGTGATCACTGAGCTCCATATATATCTGGAGCAAGAACTTCAGTCATTTGGCCTATGAGAAAAATGATGCCAAGTTGGTGGCCATTGATGTATATTAGCTCGTAAAGAGCTTTTGTACCATTTTCGCCAGCTAATTCCAGTTTTATTCTAACGGACAGTCAGGGCCGTAGCGAAGGGGGTATTGGGGGTGGTTAACCCCCCCCCCCAACTTTTTTAGAATTAACAAATTCTGAAAATCAGGTTGGTCATTCGGAAAATTACGGCAGTAATAGTATAACAAAATTTTAGTTGTAAATTTCGACGTGCTAAAACTATGTTTTCTGACCATCAGAATTCTGTCAAAACTTCCCCCAAATTCCACGAAATGGCATTTCAGAGACTCTAATTTTTAAAATTTCCTCGGGCCTTCGGCCCTCGCCACCCCCTATAAAAAAGAACTTCCTACGGAACTGCAGGCTTCTGTATGGAACTGCACGCTTCTGTAATGTCTGTGCGTAAAATATGAGTATTTTTGTTTGTAAATTGCGTTTTCATTTTCCGGATAGCAAACACCTTCGTGGCTTCGTATGCGATGAAATATTCGGAATTTTT